CCACCACGACCACGACCACCACCACCACCACCACGACGACCACCACCACCACCACCACCACCACCACCACCACCACCACCACCACCACCACCACCACCACCGCGCCGGTGACTGTATCCGAACCAGCGCTCTTGAACGACATGCCTGAGTTGTTCTTCCTGGCTGATCAGCAAAGTCTGCCTCGCAGCAACACCAAGTGCCCACCAGAAGTGCGAGTGAGTGAGTGGAACGGGAGAATTGGCAACCATTACTTTCAGGTGAGTCAGGCCATTGTAGCAGCCCTTTTCTGTCACATTACACGCGTGAGATTTCCACCCCATATACCCAGAAACTACCAGGAGCAGGATGGCCTCTTGGACATGCCTCAAGAGCTTACATTGCCCGGAGTGGATGGCCATGAAGAGCTGACAATCCCAAACAGCTGTCCCACGCATCTGACTCACAAGTGGTACCACCAGCATTGCCAGATGGTACCGGCATGGCACCACCGGCAGGTGATGCAAAAGTTTCTGCGGCCATACTTGGGCCAGACTCTTGCAGACCTTGCGAATGTTCCGCAGTTATCTGCATCTGACGATGTTCTAACAATCCACTTGCGTGCCGACGATATTGGACGGTATCCCAGGTATGAGTGGGGCCAGCCGCCCTGCAGCATGTATCAGAAAATTATCTCCGACCGCGGTTACAAAACCTTGATGATCGTAGCGAAGGGCAAGCATGCTGCTTGTGACAGCTGGTTGGTAGACTATGGGCGTGTGCATGGCATCACCGTCAGCCGGTCGAGGGATACAACAGTGGCTGGTGAAGCTTGGCAACAACCCGAGACCCTCATCCCCAAGGTAAACCTACTGCGATGTTCGTACTTTTGACTCACACATTGTCCCCGAGTTTTCGGTAGCAGCATCTCGCTTATGTGGAGATGCACGTACCGAAACTCAGGATTTGGCAACGTTGTTTCGTGCGAAGAAGCTTGGCAGAGGAAAGTGGGGAAGGTTGGTCCTTGCAGTCTGGTCGTATGTCTAATCCAACCGACTTTGAATGCTCGCGTTCACCGGCTGTATAATAGAGGGGCCTTAAAAAGGAGTTCTTATAGACTTATAGATATAGTATAATATATCCCCAAACCCTATTCTAATTATTAAGGCCCTTATATTACTTGATAGCTCTTAACGCTTCGCAGCGGGCCGTCTCGGCAGATCCCGTATTGAGCTCTTGTAGGAGGGGGTGCCTTGGTTTTTGTCGGTGGGTTCTGGAGCAACTCGAGGGCATGCCCTTAAGTCACTATCTGAGATCGTGCCTGCAAGCCAAAATGGAGATACATGTCGGGGGGGGGTTCCAAAGTGGAGTGCTGCCTAAACCCACTATAACCCATGGTTTCCAAATGTGTTTATGTATCTTGTATACTACAACCCATAGTTTCATAGTTCCAGAATGGGTTTATGTATCTGATATGCTATACTCCAGAAATTCAAAATGAGTGTAGGTATCTTATATACTACAATCCATAGTTTCAACATGGGTTTATGTATCTTGTGTACTCCAACCCATAGTTTCACAATGGGTTTGTGAATCTTATAAACCACAATCCATAGTTTCAACATTGGTTTATGCTTATATGCTATAATACTGTAATACATAGTTTCTGGACAAATACAGTTTGCTTAAAGTTAGTTTTGTTTACACGTGCGACTGTAGAACGCAACGCAGCAGCTGCTGGAGATTCTGTCTTCGTTTACAGGATCATCGGAATTTGTGAGTAGTCTACAAACAAAGGAAAAAGTACGATGTACGCCATCAGAACGGAGTGTCAAGTCTTGGCGAAAACATGCTCTCGGAAGAAATGGAACGTCACAACTCCCACGCGAGACTTAAGAAAAATCACTTTGACGAACTATGACAACTTGTACTGTTCAAAACGCTTGTGCAGTTGAAGCAGCGATGGGACATGCCGAAGTAATGAACCAATGAACGAAGCCTCGGGACAGACTGTGCGGGGACTGTAGGCATTTGGTGCTGTCCTTCTCAAGCTTCTCGCTGTCAGCCGCGCTGCTGAGCAACGACTTGCAGGCCAGCTAGCCTGCTGCATGTGCCTCATGTGGTGATGGTCGTGGGCATGACTTTTGGAGCATAGCCGGTTCACTGGTCCTTCAGTGTCACACATGTAGACGCCGGTATGGCGGCGGTTCCGAGTGGCAGGTGATGTACCGGCGGCGTGACGCGAAATGGTACAGCATATTGCATGCCATCGTGAACTGCAATGCCTCTTGGCATGAGGCAAGGGCATAGCTATGAGTAGCCATGTGTCACGTTTCTAGTAGAATGGCCATAACTGCAACAGACAGCATGTTGTTCATCTCAGGTGTGGACTGGCGTTACCCTGTACGAGTACAACACAAGCTTGCAAATAGAACGAACAGGTTCGCCAAGAGAGTGGCTGAGAAACTTTCCCTTGGAGCGAATCACTGGGCCATTTACTTGCCAACACGGCAGTGAGATGCAGCCAGAGATATGAACTTGCCGCTGGCCTTCGCCTCTTGATGCGCGATCGGTCACGGATCTTGTGAAGACCAGGAGCTTTCGTCAGCTTGTATCTGCAGATCCAGGATGCCCGTGGGGCATTGCGACATGGGACTTGTTCCATCCGACAGCAGTGGGGCGGATGCCGCCCTAGGAGTGTGACGTGTCGCCAAGCGGTGTGGCCCAACAAGACCGTCCAGGCTGCGGCGGCTTGAGCACATACCGAAGCCACTTCATGTGTTGTGCATTTTCAGTGGGTGTGCGGCCTCTTCCTGAAAAAGGGGTCCGACACGGTCGCGGTTTGGAGAAACTCTAAACTAAACTCCTTTATTGAGCCCGTAACCCCCGAAATCAGCCAACCCTCAACCCTAGGCCCTAGACCCAAAATTGTTATTCCCAACACGCGAAGTGTTTCTTCTGATTCCGGTTGTGTCCTGCTCCCCGGTTGAACTCCTCCAGTGACCGCCAGTGCTTTGTAGACCAAAGCTGCCACTGCACTCCTACATACTCCTACTCCTGCTGCTACCACTGCCGCCATTGCCGCCACTACTACTGCTGCCGCTGCTACTGTGTGAGGCTGCAAGAATGTCTACTACGCTCTACTATCAGGCGAGCGAAGTAAGGTCTTGCTGATGATTGCCGAAAACATGGTAGGCGGCTGGTTTGATGCACTCGGCCCACTGAGTGCTGTGATTTACATGCTCTTCCTGTCTAGAGTGTCGTTTTGGAGAGACCCGCAATTACAGAAGCGAGAGGGGCATGTTCGCAAACAAGGACACCACTATGTTGCACACCAGGGTTCATAGCAGGCCTGACAGCATGAGCAAGTTAGGTACTAGTCGTGGTGGCGGTCGCTTACAGTTTCAGGCTCGTTGTAGGATATACCGGCTTGGGAGCAAGAACCTGCATGCTATTGCTACTCACTCTGCTGTCAGAACGGATCAGAGCACGTCATCATGGTTGCTCCATGGACGCTCCGTTCTCAGAAAGGATTAGACCATGGACGCGGTTGGGCCAGAGATACTCTGTTCCAAAGCAGAGAAGGTTAGGCAGAGCCAAGGAAGGGACCCCAAAGGGCATGATAAGGGTTGCTACAGCGTATGCCCTGCATCTTAAGAGTTTCAACTCAGGCCTAATCTACATGCAGCGATGGCGGTGGAAGCGACAAGCAGTCGGAGACAGAAATCCTGAGGTCCCTTTAAAGTAAGTCCCTCCCGGGGGCCCCTTTTGGAATCTTCCAAACCAAAGGCCCTCAACCCCAAACCCTCAGGTTTAGGGTTTAGGGGTTCTTTTGGCCTCAGATCCCGAGCAGTTTTGCACGAGCCGAGCCACAAAAGGCTGGCCAGTGGCGCCTGCGGCGCGCGGCGCGCCTTCAAGGCCGGGATAAGTACGGCGGTGGCCCGGTTTGAGTTCTCTCTTTGCTTTTTTTTTTGCGGCTTTGGCGGCTTGGCTTCGCCTCTACAGTGCGCGTGTTTCGTCGTGCTCTTATGCTGATTTTGTGAACGGCCGTTCTTGTCCGCATTTAATGCTGGAACTGCTGTTTGCGGCCGTTTTTATTGCTTTTTCGGATGCCTTCAAGGTACAAATCTTGGAAGCATCAACGAGCTGATTGCAGCTCCACCCAAGCTCCACGTCCTGACGGCCCATACGAATAAGTGAACCCCGAATAGGCGGCATCAGCCCGGAGCCCAGAGTGTATGGTAAGGCTCTAAGCTTAGACCCTAAAGGTCCTGTCCAGAAAGTTTCTAGGAACGGAATGTGGACACAGCGGTTGATTTGATGCAGCGGCTTCCCCTGGACGGCATCCGATCACACTTCTGGATCTGAGCTTCGTAGTTTGGGGCAGGGTTCGGGGCTTGGCGATTTTAGCGGTCATGAGCTTCACAGGGATGCGTCTTAGGGTTTAGGAACTGCGATTTAGGGTTTAGGGTTCCGAGCTTTTTAGGTACAGGCTGTAGTCAAGACCGCAGGCCGTGGCCGCGGCTTCGCAGACTGTATACTGGTCCGTGTGATCAGACGGATGGGAAAAGAGAGCGTAACCTCTGAATTATTTGTCAAGATAGCCTTTAGTTTGAGGTGCGGACTCGGCAAAGCTCTGCTGAGGACTTTCTGAGAGCCCTTTTCTGCACAGTTGGTTCTTGTGCCTAGATCGGAATTTGGTCTTTGCCCCTTTCCGATACGCCCCGTCATCTTGCCATAAAAATTCCAGATACCCCTTGTGATATCCTAAACCGTAAATCGTAAAGCCAGTCAAAGCCTGAGTCGTCAGAAGTTGCAACGAAGGTTACAAGAGCTTGCGATTCTTTCTTTCTTTCATTCTTTCTTTCTTGATCTCGGTAAACTCTTGCAAGTACCTTTGCTGGTTAGGTTATGCCCTGTTGTACAGCCCTGAAAGTATTTCTTCAAACTGTTGTTACTACTCCTCGGATTCTACCTGCAACGGTAATGTCAACACTTTACAGCCTTGTCGGGTAAGGGTCTGTAGAGTTTACTTGTGGCTCTGACTGCCAGGTTCGGGGCTACAGAGGTACCCTAAACCCTAAACCTGAAACCTAAAACCCTAAGCCTTAAACCCAAAACCCTACACCCTGAGCCTTAAACCCTAAACCTAAAACCCTAAACCATACACCCTAAACCCTAAACCTTAAACCTGAACCTTAACCTTGACCTTAAGCCCTCAACCCTACACCCTTCAATAAGGCTGGGTGCAGTGAAGATCAGAGGGTTGAAAGCATCCGAAGCCCAAGTCAAAGCCTGGGAAAGCCCAAGATGCAATCAGGAAAACATGTTCTTATAGGGTTTAGGGTTTAGGGTTTAGGGGTTTAGGGTTTAGGGTTTAGGGGTTTAGGGTTTAGGGTTTAGGGGTTTAGGGTTTAGGGTTTATGGATGATCCTTTTGAGTTTGCGTCCACATGCAAGGCCGGCGTGGAGTGTGTGTTGGTTTGCACAAGCATTGGCTCAAAACAAAACAGGGGTCCGCTTAGGCAACACATGCATGACTTGTAAGGTCATCAATGTGAAATGGAATGCGCACTTCTTGAGCCACTGCTGCAACAAGATGCAGACAAGAAGACACTGGGTGTAAGATTTGTTTGCAAATTGCGCTAACGTCTGTTTGTGTGCACAAGAGCGACACGGCAATGTCGTGGTGGCAAGCAGCCCTTGTGTTGGCGCTGCTGGCGCCGTGTGCGAGCAGTTCGGAAGCGCCATCGAACCTGGTGGTTGTCGGAGGGTTTCCGACATGTGGCATATCATACATCTATGGCATTCTAGAATCTCATCCCAACATCGTCACCTTTTCAATTCAGATAGGTGCGCTGCCCAATCTGCAGACGGAGTTTGAGGAGTCGGCCTTCGCTCTGGCGAAAGCGCTGCAAGTCCCCACAGGCCGTCCCTTGCAAGAAGTTTGCCAGGAGTTCAAACCTCAAGCGCCGACCTTCAGAGAATGCGGTCGTCTCGTGAAGACGATCAGGGGCTGGTACAACACGTCCATGCCAGCGACACTGGTCGTCACAGACGAGTCCTTCTTTGACAAGCAGGTGGGTCTCAAAAACAGAAATAAGAAGCGGTTCCGAGCCGCCATATGCCAAAGACTCTCCAACAACCCAAACCCTAAAACCCCAAAGAAATATCTCCTAATCCTAAACCCTAGACTTTAAACCCCAACAGATGCTTGCATCCCGCTGGCCGGGCAAAGTCAAGCTGCTCTTGTCGGTGCGGGATCCCGCGGACTTCCTATGGACAGCCTACAACTTCTGGACCCTTGCTTCATGGTGTAGGGTTTATAGGGTTCACAGGGTTTGTACTGCAGGCTTTAGGTAGGGCTTAGGGCTTTTATGGTAGAGTCTCGGGTTTGAGGTTCTGGACTTCAATTTTTGATGATCCCGAGTGCGAGTGGGAGTACTTCTTATTGGGCACCGTCCTCCGGAGGATTTCGTGTGTGTGTGTGTGTGTGTGTGTGTGGGTGTGTTTGTCGGATGGGGGTAGGTTTGAGCCCGAAGCCCTCAACTTACATACCAAGCCGATACCTCAATCCTAATATAGCATAAGACACCAAAAAACCACTCTCCTAATTATTAAGGCCATTGTGTGAGAAGCTTCTCTCTAATTTTGGATAAGACTTCGCTTTGCAACCGAGGGCGCTGCCAGGGGAGCCGAAAGCCAACAACCAGGGTACCAGGACGGCGATGAACCTTGGAAACCGAAGGAGTTTCTGATGGAACCGGGAGGGGGGGGGGGCTTGGAGGGTCTGAATAAGTAGTAGTAGTAGTAGTAGTAGTAGTAGTAGTAGTAGTAGTAGTCGTAGTGGTGGTGGTGGTGGTGGTGGTGGTGGTAGTAGTATTGCTTGCTGTTGGCCTCAGAACAGAATTGACAGGTGATTTCAGAGCCAAAGGTACTTTTGGAAGCCTTGCGTAGCTTGAAAGTGCCGGGCATGTCGGAAAGATCTGAGGAAAACTCACGTCCGCAGCCCGGAGCTGTTCGACGAGTTGGTTTTGGCGGACGGCAAGAAAGAGGTTTGGGCACCCAGGGCCAACAAGATCACCGGGCAGTGGTTCGACCAGATCAAGAATGTGAAGGATGTCTCCGCAAACCTCCTCTTCTTGAAATCTGAGGACCAGTCATGTGTTGTTTACACGATTATGTGAGGTGATGAGTTCTGCTATGAGATGACGTTCAGAGTCTTGAAAGCGACTCGTTTGGTTGGTGTTCTTGTGCAACAAGACGTTGCATTCGCGCGGGGACGTCAGAGCTTTCCTTCATTTCTCTGCTTACTATTATACCGTTGTTTTAGTCAGCGCACCTCAATGTTGCAAAGCCCTATTGCGAGACGACCGAAATATACCGAAATATGGTTCACTAAGCTGGAAGAACTTGTGTAAGGCTCTCAAGAACCAGCAGTGCGCCTATAAACCCTGTAACACCGGTATGAGCCCCCTACGAGGTCCTGCAAAAACATGCCAACGAAAGGGTCCGGGGATGTGTGTGTTCATTCTTGGGGTTCGAAACGTGACAACTACGGTAGGGTTTTCAATAGGGTGTTGGTGAGTGTGGGCAGGGCTCCTGGGGAAGATCATGGGCAAGTGTATATCTCGGGTGTTATGACTGGGACTGTAGAAACAGAGGTCTTACTTCATAAGGCATCTCGTTGGAAAAGGTTCATGGTTTAGGGCTTTGGTTTTCGAACTCGGTAACCTTATAAACTCCTTGAAGAACTGGTTGTGTCGTTCGAACACGAGTAATGCACATGTAGGTAATTTGCTTAACACCCCAGCCCCACATGGTAACCAAACTCTAATTGCCCCGAGCACTTGCAATCCTACATCCTATACCCTAAGGCCCTAAACCCGCAACCCCAGCTCTAAACCCTGAGCCCTACGTCTCGAAGGATTTCACGGAGAATTTGAGCGCGAGCTTCGCGAGGATGGGTTCATTCTTTGGAGTGAACGCGTCGCTGTTTTCTTACAAGGCACATCATGTTTAAGGGTGCGTTTTGGTTTTTTCGGCATGTTTCGGCTTAGGGGTTTCGGGCCTCTACGGTTTAGGATTACAAGCTTAGCCTGCAGATGCCTGCAGCAAGGCTCTGGATGCCGCACGCATGTGTCACGGTGTTATGCGGGAAATTTTGAAGTTTTTTGTGGGGTTTATGCAGGTTAGGGTTTCGCGATTTGTTGCCAATGTTGTAAGGATGCTGCAGAAATTCCAACTTGAGCATATCCGTTGGACTGCGCAATAACAAGTCTTGTAGTCATGTACAGACCAGTCTGTTTTTCGCTCCATTGAGTTCTTATGGCAGGCAGGAAACAAAAGATGTTTCCGATCGCGTAGAGCTGTTAGTTGGTATCACGGAGCGCGTTGAATCCAGCGATGTAACTCCATGGAGGAACACCTGCTTAGCCGGAATGAGAGAGCCAATGATGTTGCTGCTGTGCTGCCCGGGGCAAGATCTCCTACCTTTGGTAGATCATCTTCAGAAAAAGCTTCGAGGACTTCGTCGCCAGTTGCAGGCGCAGTGTAGGGCCCCGGAATTACTTGGCTAAGCTTCGCATCGCGACCTTGGATGAGTCTCGCAACAATGTGGCCGCCAGCGGGACCTGCAGCGGAGCCTTCAGTGCCGACTACGCCTCCAGGCTTCGCTTCGACTACGTCATCAAGTTTCACACCGGCTTCGCCACCAATCTTCGCATCAACAAGATCCAAAAAGCTTCACGTCGGCCATGCTGCCAAGCTCCGCGCCACGGAGCTTCGCGTCGAGTTTGCCACTCAGCTTCGCGTCGGGTATTCCAAGCTGTCATGCACCGGCTATGACCGGCTTAGCATGAGATCCATGTGGCGGCACTACATCGACGCCACAGCGAGTGCAGAGTGCCTGTGAAGTTCTTGCATTGAAAAGGCTTGAAGATGCTGCGAGAAACAATCCGGATCAGGCTGAGCGCTTCATTGCAGTGCTATCTGGAGAAAAGTGCAGCATTACTACAGCTGGCTCACTGGGAAAGCGAGGCTACAACTCCGAAGAGCAAACGGTGAATACGACTGTATCAATCCTTCGCCGAGGCCTCAGCATCAAGTTGACCTGCACAGGTATGGATTGATCCTGACAGCGATGATCCCATGGTACGTCGGTTTGGGCAGCACGACAAGATGATGCAGGACCAAAGCTCTGCGCACACTGGAATTGGTGGAGGGGCCAAGTCCATTGGCATAGTTGACATACCAACATCCCTGACACGGATTCTGGGTTTGGTCCGACTCACCATTGCGGAAGGAAGCGGCACGCCATGATCAATCCGCGCTCTGTCAGGGCAGTCGGCTGCCATGGTGCGCCTTCTCTCTGGGCGCTGGGCCATCAACATCGTGAACTTCGAGCACACACCAATGGAGTTGCCGGCCCATCTGTATGAGGCCCGCAACCGTGTGCGACGCTCGACGAGTCGCTGAGTAGCAAAAGGCTTAAATCGATGAGTCCCCCCATGACCAGGAGTCCACGATCGACGCATCCAAAGGGGTACCAGAACGAAGGCCAGTCGCTGTTGTTGGTGAGCCGTCGAAAGTGTGAGTCAAGCGGCCAAGGACAAATTATTGCGGCGAGAGTGCGCGCCAGGTAGTTGAGTAACATTAGTAACATTCCAGAACGATGACGACCGAAGGCCAGGTCTGTCATGAGGCCCACCGGTCTTATTCCAGGTCGAGATTTGCCGGGTCTGTATGCTCGCAGAAGCTTAGCTTGAGGGGATATTCCAACGACACCAGCGACTACGAGGACCTTCACCTGGGCATTTGCGAGGACTACCATGCAAGTAGCTTCAGGTGCTCGTCTCGATGCCCACCATGATGGTGGCTCTGTCAACTTGACCTGTTCCTTTGGCAAGGTTCTCCGCAAATCACGTTACCCACAGCCACTCAACAGGCTGAGGATGAGTCCACGCACACACACACACACAGCTTTGACGATGCAACCAGAAAAGAACAAGAGGGAGCCGAAATCCTGCATATCATTTCTCTGGAGACGTTGGAGAAGTTGGAGTCTGGAAAGTGGGTTCAGGAACTACACTGACGTACAAGAGCAAGCAGTGCCCAAACCTGGCCAGTCTTCTTCCCTCACTCCAACAGCTTCTGCCCAGGACAGTCCCGCCAGCAGCGACAACTTGGAGGCGGCCAGGAGGAGTCCGATGCGGTGATGGCGGAGAGCGAGGCCGTGATCGGCGCTGGACCCAAGCCGAGCTCCTGGCAGCGCGTCGAAAATCCGTTGGGAGCACCCACCGTTTGGTTACCAAGGGCCCGAGAGGCAGCGTGCAAGTCAACGCGCCGAACCACGAGCCGGTTCGTGGACATGTGCAGGCCAACTGGGGGGTTTTCGTTGTTCGGAGGTCGACAAGGAACGCCAAAATCGCGATGCTGCGCGGTGGGCAGGGGAGACCCGCTCGTCAATGGCATCGAACGTTCAAGGCACGCGCCACTAGTACAGGTCGATGTACCAGTTCTTGAAGCTTTCGGCGATGCGATCATGGCCCCGGATGGTGAAGGACGCCAAAGCTGCGTTCCTACAAGGACAACGCACCGCAAGTTCAACAACGACTGAAAACTCAAAGGGCCAGGAATTGTTTTGGGAATTCTTTTTTCTTTTTTTGGGATTTCTTTTTTAAAGGGTTTGGGGCTTAGTGCTGTATT